TTGTTTCGGAACAAGCCTTTCCTTTGCCTTCTCATTTCCCATCTACGTTTCTCTGCCAGAATGTGTTTTCAGGATTACGATTTTTGTAAATGATTTAGAAACAAGTAGTTAAGCTGAAGTGTGGGTCACTTCAGTAAGAGTAAAGGCCCGCAAGGATCGAAAACCTCTAATTACTCATGAGGGTCTACGGTCTATTTCAGTAGAAGCGTAGGACAGTGTGCTCGGCCTTTCGGCCACGTTGCTGATGTTAGCCTAAGCTTACTGTTATTCGTCCGTACTGTTACGCGACTACTAGTTTACGCCGATGATCTTAATTAAGGGCCAACTCTGTTATTTGATTATGTGCAGTTTTTGCTGGTTAATTTTAGTTAAATTAGTTTTATATTATTTTCTTGAGTGAAAACCCAAGTGGAGGCCTTGTCCTAATCCAGAGAAGGTGCCATCTGTTCATCTATGTTGAGTTGGAATGAAGGGTAATTTAATCCTTCTTTGGACTTTGTGCTTACATGGACTCAGCAATTAATCGCTACACAGCTTAGTATTCTAACTCTCAAGGCACTCTAATTTAGCTAAGATATTACATTCTATAAATCAGCATTTTATCTTTCAAAAATGCTCCGAATGAATTAATTCTACTACTGGCAATCAATGTTCAATAGAGATTACTAAACGTATACCAAAAACCACGTGCTGTTGTTTTATGTTTTATTTGACATCTGGTCTGCTATACAGAACGAAGATAACTGAAATAGTACATGGAAACTTTTTTAGGGGGATACTGAATTTTTTTAAGAAGATTTTCTGTGAATTTTATAAAAATTAAACAAAAGATGTGGAGAATTATTTTGATGTCATCTTTAAGCAATTAAAAGTGGGTGAAATAGATTTAAAACTCTTTCATCTTTGTGATAACGCTGCTGTGATAGCAAAACACAGAGATGTTCTCAGTCAAGAAATGAGGATACCTGACAGATTTTTTGTGCTTTAGAATCTATTAGTACTGAATGTTTTTGGAACAGTAGCAGTTCTACAGGTAGGTTTTATTTGTTCAACACAGAATTGGAAAAAAGTAAAAAGTACCTTTCCCATGTTTTAAAATCGTAATCATAAACGAATTGAAACACAAGGATAGAATCTAAGCAAATACTTTTAAAAAGTACTTTTGATCTTCAGACTATGATAAATATAAGGAAGGGAACAGTTAAATAAAAGTGACGAAAGACCGCTGTACAAATGCTAGCTTTATTATAGATTTCGAACCTTTTAAAAAATATTTTGTAGGAATTTTGGAATAAAGTTTTCGCTTCAGTTAGTCGAATTTAAAAGAGACTGCAGGAATCTAAAGTGAACTAACATGACGCTTCTCTGAACTTGAAGTATTCCAGAGGCAATTTTTAAGCCGAAACAGAATGGATGGATGAAGGTGGATGACTTAAACGATGGGAAAACCGTTACGATTGAGCACCATCTACTGGCATTTAAAAATTCAGATATATCGCTTCGTTTTCAAGTAAAGTATACGCGAAGCTAGGCTGCTTAAGTGGAATCGTTGCGTCGCGTATACAGGACACTAGTCTTGAACGGGTTCTCTCTTAAATTGTTTGTTCTTCAGAGAAAGACAAGCATTCTTTCAGGAATCGATTTTTAAGACATATTTATTATTAAAATAAAATTTGTCCGCTTAAATTGTGATTCTCTTAAATAAAAGAGGTATTGGAGCTCTTTTACTTAGAGTTCCATTGCATTCGGCTAGAATTACGATTTACCTTGAAAACTGAAATACCGTAGCCGAGCTTCGGTGCTGTTTAAGCTTTGATTTAAAGACAAACCAATCAAGTTTCACCTCATACAAGTATGACGCCGCTCGTCACCTGATCAGCGATCATGCTCCAAGCAAGTTTATTGTAGAATGCGATTGTGAGTTTTATAAACCGTCTTTGAGATTCTCTTGAAATCTGATATGCCTACACTAAGAATGGATAAATCTCACTCTTGACGGATTCCTATAAAAAAAAGTTTTTATGGTGGTTGTGGTATAAAATTGCAGATGTAACTTTATGAAGGTAATAATTTAATGTATTTTTCCCATTTAGCTATATGATAAATTATTTACTTTTTAACTCATTAATTATTATATATATTTGAATAAAAGCTTTATATTATTTTAAAAAAATTCTTGTTTTTAATCTCAGTTAATCCGTATTAGTTTATAAGGTATTTCTCCCGACTCCTTAGCAAGCCTTCGTAGTGTAATGGTCAGCATGCTCGGTTCGTATTCGAGAGGTTTGAGTCTCGATGAGGGCATTGCTTATTTTTCACATCTCCGCTTCAAAAGATCTAATGTCTCTACAGTGGCGCCTGCTCTAAAAAAAAAGTGGTGGATGATGATTCTCCACCACCAGGATTTGGCCATTGGGTCCCCTAATCCCCAGTCGCCCTTTAAAAGGGGAACTATATAAGTTATTTCTCTCGCCTTCTTAGCATGCCTGCGTGGTGTAATGGTCAGCACTCTCGGCGCGTATTCGAGAGGTACAAGTTTGAGTCCCGGCGAGGGCTTTGCACATTTTTCATGTCTTCTGCTTCGAAATAACTTAATGTCTCTACAAGTTTAAAAACTCAATTGAAAAGTACTTCTCCAGCAATTAATAATCTTTTTCTTATTTCCAACAATTCTGTTATTATTTACAACCTTACGATATAATGCATTATTTCTCCTTTACATTAATATTAATGCGTTTTATCTGGGATAGTCTTAGGCTATTTTGAAAGATGTAATCACATTCCCTCCATTTCTGCTAATACATTATTTTTATATGTTCTTTTCTTCTTCTCCCCCCTCCAATTAGCTTTGTCCAAATTGATCTTCTGAGTTTTAAGTCTCCCTCTGAATTTATTGTGCTGCTGAATGAGCAAGGTATGCATGACCTCACATGTATATTTTTTCTTGGATAAGTTGTCACATCTTATGTGCATTCGGTCTGGCGAGTAACGCATAGCAGTCGGATGCCTGGCTACGCAAGCGGCTAATTTAAAAATAGTTCTAGTCATTTAAATAAAACTCTTTTTATCATTCTTGTTTTAAAAGAAAGTGAAAAGTTTGTTTCAAATCCTGTAAGTTTCAAATTTTTACAAGAAATACATTTTGCATATTAGAATTTTCCCATAAAACAATACGATATTACGTTTCACAATAAAATTAAGAAAATCAGTTTTGAAAACGGCATACTGAGGAAAATTATATAACCTTTCCTTTTGATATGGAAACATTTATGAATGGCACGGCAGATTTCATTGCGAATAATTTTAAGCGCCAATGAATTCTTAAACTCTGTCGTTTTGGAGATTAAGAAAATGAAATGAATAGTAAATGCAAAATCTATCTGTAAAGAAACAGAGGGAGAGAAACAGCTTAAAATGGCAGATGACTTCTATAGTTAAGTTTAATGTCTTTGTATATAATTCCTTCTAGAGAGGAGAAATTATCAATCAATCAGTAAATAGCATTAAATATTACAGTAATCGATACGGAAGGAAGAAAAATAGTTAGACGTATAATGACATTACAGCTTACGTATGTTTCTAAGCGAATCACATAGCGGCCAAGGAAAAAACTAAAGTTTCCCTTCTGCTTATTGCAAAGTATTTCTCAAAAATAATATCGAAAAATATGAAATAATATATTTTTATCATTCTTGTTGTAAAAGAGAAGTTGTTTTATAGTTTATAAATACTTTAAATCTCTATAAAAATACATTTTTGGATGTTGAAGTTTTAAACCAGTAGTACTCAACATTTTATGGTGCTGGGGCATACAAAGCAGTTTCAGAAAGCGAAGCGGGCACCACATAACATTTCGGTCCCGCATGATATTCAGGCGATATTATCACGTTACTAGTTAACGCTAGCCCTTAAGAAGAAAAAACGCACCCTCATAAAGAAGGTCGAAAAAATGGATCGAGATAGAAACAAAATATACGTTTCATGCAAAAAGTTTTTATTACTTACAATATAGTCAAGTCTCTTCTGTTTATAGTGTTGCACTTAATGCGATTTTTGAGATTGAATTTCCTCCACCAACATATGTATGTTAGGTGCATATGCTGAGGCTCCCGCACGCAAGCAATTGTCAAGATTGTCAATCAGCGAGCCTGCTTCAGTTCTTCGACTTGATAACGTTCATGATTGAAAATCCAGAGGCAGCGGTAGGTAGACGCAACAACAAGATTTGATTTTACATGCAACACATTTTAATAATGAAAATCTGTTCTTTTCCACAAGTTTTCAGAAGTCTATATCTGTGGCATGTGCTTGCAGGATAATATCATTCTTCAGTTCGATTATTTCCTGCTCGAGGTTTTCCTCTTCTGCGGCAATAATTCTTGCAATTGCTGTGGCGGTTTCAATTGCTTCGTGGTGAATGATGAATGAGTTGACAAAAAAGCTCACCACATGCTCCATGGAACTGAAATCTTGAAATCGCTTTCCAAATTAGTCTAGAAGCGTCTCGAGATGGCCGGAAAATCCCAAGGACCCAAATTTGTCGTCACTCGCCATTTTTGTTTCAGGTTTGGAAAATGAAACAGGGACTTTATCTCATTTGAAACATCTATAATGTCAATTTGGCTTTGAAAGCTTTCACAAATCCCCTCATTTGAGCCAGCTCCTTGTCTTTACCCTGAAGATTCAGATTTAAAAAATGTTAAGTTTCTCAGTGATATCGGCGAGGAAAGCCAGATCAAGTAGCCACAAAGAGTCACTTAGATTTTCAATGTGTTTACTGAATATGTCAGGGTTAGATTGCATGAACTCTTTTTATCTGCTCGATTAGAGATAAAAACCTTGATAGAACTTTGCCTCTGCTGAGCCATCGGACTTCTGCATGCAAAATGAGGTCGACTGTTTTATCTTCGGAGTCATACAACAGTGCTTTAAAAAGCCGGTGTTGCAAAAGAGCCGCACGAATAAAACTGATAATCAGCGTGAAAACATTCATGATGTGTTCAAATGGAAATATCTTTCTCTGCGCACAATGCTTCTTGATGAATGATGCAGTGATAAGACATGAAGTTTAGAAAACACTCGGTTCTTCCTGTTATGGCAGGTGCTCCGTCTGTGGTAACTGGCGATAGCTTTTTAAGCGGCAAGCCAATTTCTGACGCAGACGTTTTAAAAACATTATAAATGTCCTTTCTTCGCGTTCTCATCATCAAAGGCAGAATTTTAAATAATTCTGCTTTAACAGAAAAGTCGTTAAATAACATTCTTATCATAACAGCTAACTGGGACGTGTCGGAAATATCCGTGGACTCATCAAATTGGAGAGAAAACCATTCACATTTTTCCAAGTCTCTCTTCAGTTGAGATTGCATGTCATCAGCAGTTGCTTCTATTCTCCTTAAAACAGTGCTGTCTGATAATTGAAGGTCCTGAATCGCATTGATGATTTTACTCTTGTTTGAGAATTCGTCAAAGAGGCTTTCAGCACCTGTAAGAAACGCTTCCTTCAGCAACTCATCGTCTTGAAATGGTTTTTCCTTCTTCTCTAGCAACTGAGGAATTTTAAACGAATTCGTTGTTGCATTTTTAGACTTTGAAACTGGCCTAACAAATACTGATTGCTGAGCTGAAATCTTCAATTTTAGCTCACATACCTTCTTCTTTCTAATTTCCGAACCCTCCGTGTAGTTTGTTGCAAATGTTCCATGATTCGTCTGAAAGTAACGTTCCGCGTTATGTTTCTTGGGCATTGCTAAAAAAGCACCGCACCAAACACACGCACTTCCGTTTCACATCAACAAAGCAATACGTGTCTTTCCAGCTGGAATTATAATTGTATATCTTCTGCCTTTTTCTGGGCCCACTCATCGTGCTGCAGCGGTCACAAAAACCTAAATCGCTAAGTCCCGACGCAGAATGAAGATGCTGAACAAGATTGGGTGCATCACTAACACTGTCACTTTCAAAAGCTCAAAGAAGACCGGTGAAGAATGCGGGTCAAAAGTTGCCCTTTGCACCTTGTTAAATACTTCATATAATTGTGCTTAAATTTAACAAACATTCTCTATTCTTTTGAAACAAATCATATAATTATGTCATACAGTCAAGTAATCAAGGGTCGACTCTGACCTGCAGTTCCCTCCACTTGTCATCTTTTTCAGCCCTTTTTGGTGTGGTGAACCTTGTAATATCGTGCCCCTAATCTTAAAACTTTATCGTCCCATTAACCCGCGAGGACGCGTCGGACCTTCCAGGCCCGTTCATTACATAAACGTAATACAGAAATTACTCCCTTTGGTGAAATTTTTCGACCTTCTCAGTAGCTGCATTCAGGGCTGTGCGTGTCATTCACAGGCATTTCCGGAATTTATCTCTCCCTCTTTTTTCAGAAATTGGGTAGCCGAGCCTCCCTTGACCCAGGCGCGCCTTCGCATTTTCATTTTAAACCGGACAAAGGCGATAAAAAGGATGAAGTTAAGACACGCCATCATCCTCGATGTTTCCAAAACCCAAGACAAGGCCAACCAAGTTTCTGAACCCTCCCCGCCGAACCCCCTCTATTTGCAATCCCAAAAAAGACTGTTGCAGCAAAAAAAAAAATAATTTAAAACATTACGGAACCTTGGCGAGCGCGCTTCAGTGCCCGCGGGCACCGGGTTGAGTACCTCGGTTTTAAATCAATAGGCGTGAATTAAGCAAAAAAACATCAAGCTATTTTTAAAAATTGAATAAAAAAATCAGGATTAAAGATTAAAAAAGGTGGCTGAGTGGCTTGAAGGTGGAAAGCATGATGACTCAATTTAGCGCAACGTATTTTGAAGAATCACAATCTTTTTTTTTTTTTTTTTTTTTTTAATTTACGTATATCAAACCATCCTTTTGCGGACAAAATGTTTCCTAATTATATTTGAATACAGTAAGTTCCATTTTGAAGTACGGCGCCATCTTAAGCAACTAAGCGGCAGCAAACGTGGATGAAAAGCGTCTTGCCATCAAGAGAGCTTATGCGAAAAAGGGGAGAGTGTCACAATACTTCAGAGGAAGAAGGGTGGGAATCGGAAAAGTTTCAGTTCAGAGTTTTGATTTACAATTAATTTGATTGGACAAGAGGCATCTGCAGAGGTAAACGTTACGTAACAGAAAAATCTGGAACCTGGGAGAAGAGATGAATTTAGCGGCCAGATCACCAAATTTAGAATGTTAATAAATTTCGAAGGTGGTGGCATGAGTTTCGTATTGAAAATTACTAGCATTTAAATTTATGTTGTAAGGATTTAATTTATTCTAACCAATTATTTTTAGTTTGACTTTCATGTTCCTCCTGATTTCAGTTTTCTGCCGGAATGTAAATTTAGTATGATGTAGATGCAAATTCTAAAAGGAGTTTCAGAAGCAGTATTTAAGCTGTGTTTCAAGAGTTCAAAGGGAGTAGTAGTTGTAGTAGAGTCCGATGTTTATGCTGCGAGTTTGAAATTAACTCTCTAGTTTTAGTCTTCTCTCGTTTTGCTAATTAGCTCTCGCGACACCTTTCAGTTTACACTGATATTCCTCGTTTCGGCTTTGCTGTGTGCAGCCGATTTAGCGTTAGTTAAGCTAAGGAGCCAGTCAATAGAAGTCTTAATTTACTAGTGATTTATTACATTCTTATTTTCTGTAAAATTACGTAGCCACAAGTGGTGGTGATTTGTGAGCACGAAGTTCGCGCATCTGTTTTAATTTAGTTAAATAAAAAGGTTATTTAAACTTTTCTTCTGCTGTGTTTATTCTTAAAGACAGCGAAAATTCGCTACTTCGTCTCTAACGTAGAGTTCAGAATGTAGACTCCCAAAGAATACACATAGACTCTATAATGAACATTTTTTTAAATTATTTAAAGGTAAAATTTATAAGTTTTTATTTTGTTAAATAATACTCATTCGCATTACATGAAAATTAACTTTTTTAAGCTTGTTTAAGATGCTGGAATAACTAATATCTAACTATGAAACGACTGAATCCTTAATAATAGTTTTAATGAAATTGGTATATACTTGTAATCTCCGTAATGTGCGAGTCTGCTATCAGGTATAACTTCTTTCACGCTTGTAATGATATCACTGATTGTATCTCTCGTGCCCATGTCTATTCGGTAGCGCTGTATCCAAAGCGATATAGCAGCAATGTCAAACATTTCTTTCTCATTAGGATTTGACCAGGCTGGATGACTCAATATACTTAAATGATTAGCCGAACTATGCAGTAAATCATGTTTGTAAGTGAACTTGGCGTCATCATTTTCATTTAAGTGTTGATGAAGGAAATCTCTGGGTTCACCGGATGGTATTTTGCCGGAATATTGTCTCTGTTGGAACATAACATATTACTCACATCACATATCAGTGTTATCATTATATTTACTAAGGTTACAAAAAAGAACATAAAAGAAGGGAAAAAAATAGAAATTTTAAGATTTTAAATTACGTCCAAAGGGGCGTTTTTTTTAAAGTTTTGTGTGTCACCTGTATTTATTAAATATCATGTTTTACGCACTCAGACCATAAAATTCAGCTCAACAGCAATATCGCAAAATAATTTTAAAATGAGCATATTTTTAGTATTTCCGATACAGAATCTCGCGTGCTGGAGATAATTTTTTTTTTTTTTTTTTTTTTTTTTTTTTTTTTTTTTTTCGGTACAGTGTTGCCATTTCTCGCTTCTCGCTTTGAAATCATTTAGTTTTTTTAATCAAAAATTCACTGAAATGTTACAAAATGTGAAATCGATAATAAAACAAATTTCAAATCAAATTAGGGCTTGCATATGCCCATATTCTACGGAAGATTACGTTATTCAAATTTTGATGGCTCTAGGCACCGTTGTTTTATCACAATGCGAGAAACATACATGCATTCATGTAGATTCTTCATTATTTAATTTCTTTAAATATAATACAGGGCGATGTTGTCTGCCATGTAGCTTGGTGTTTTGAAGTGTGATTCTTAAATTGCTTATTTTACAGTGTGTTTTGATTTTTACTTGGTGAAAGTGCTCTTACATGATTGCTTACGAGTTCCGGTTTATGGAAAAGTGCTACTTTGTGCATGATGTTGGATTTCTACAAGGTTTGAAGAAGTTTAAAATTTCAAGTCCACGTAGCAGCTCATTTGCATACGGTAGTGCTGTTTTCGGTCACTTTGGTATTAAAAGTCCGTGCAAATGGTATTTTTTTACCGTGCTTTTGATCTAAATGCTTGATTTTATGCTTGTACAAGTTTATGTTAAATTCTGGCTGCTATTTTAAAACTTTTGGATACTCTTAGTTACATGTTTCGAAGATAGGCTTAGCGTGGCTGCCAAGTGTTTATATTTTTGGATCTTTTGTTTTGCACTTGTAATTTTAGACCTTTTGCCAGGTGATTAAAAATTTTTGAATTATCTTATTACTAGAAGTAACTGCCCAACATTTGATGTTTCGAAGTATTGAGGAATTGTTTTAAGAAGTCTCATTGCAAGTTATTTGAATTATATTTAAAAAAGAAACATTTGGTGCTCCATCAACTGAAGACTTTTCGCCCGTTGAAGAAGAGGTGAAACAATTTTGGTGCATCCAAATCTAAGTTTTCTGCCCGTTGGGTAACTTTTTGAATTCTTGCGCTAGAACTCTACTTTTTGCTTTAAAAATTATATTATCATTTATGCTGCAGGATTTTACTGTCTGTTTGAGTGTTTTGTATTATAGAAAGTTTTTATTCAGTTTTAAGATATTGAATTCATGAAATTTTGATTTTATAATATAGTCCCCCTTATCGTAGTAGTGCTTTACCAAGATTTAAGAAGTGTAAAATATGTCTCTATTAACGAAAAAAAGATAGTCTTAGTCAAAGTTATAGAGAACCTGAACAAGATGTTGGAAAGTCCGATATTTTAGGAGTAATTCAGGGTCTTTTCGACACTATTGAAACTATGAGAGATAAACGAATTGCCAAGAATATCATGATTTCTCTTCTGGCCTGACATTTATTGCTAAATGGATATAGAGATTTTCTACAAATGAAATTGACTTTGAGAATTCCAGAAGGAGAGATGAAGGAATGAGCCAGGTCTTAGAAGAGATTAGAGAGATTAAGGACCTGATTTCAATAAGAAATGCTGATGGAGCAGCTGGTGAGTGTAAGATGGAAGAGGAGGAAGTAAGAGTAATTGCAGAAAAAGAGAATAAAGATATAGCAAAAAAGATTAAAAGGGATAGAAGAAAAGATAACGAAATTTTACTTAGACCAATTGATAAACAAATTGATATTTACGATGAAATAACCCATCAGCTGGATCCTGGTAGATTGGGTATTGGAGTGGTCAATTCGTTTACTCGAAAGAACGGAGATGTAATCGTAAAATTAAAGGATAAGTACGAGGTTGCTATTCTGGAGAAGGCTATTCTAAAAGAAGAGAAATTGAAAACTATTGTAAGGCCCAGAAAATACAAATTTATTAAACCTAAGATCATTTTATATAATGTGGGAGATCATGTTGAGGATGGAGATATTATGAAGAAATTGAAAGAAGAATGTCATTGTTCTGGAGAATGTGCCAGAGCGCTGTTTCGAATTCCTGCAGAGGAGAAAGGTGTTACTCACCGTATTTATGTTATTTCCTCAGATTGCCAAAGCACAGTTCTCGAAGAAGAGAGACTGGCACTCGGTTGGAAATCTTACGCCGCGCGTCTCTACCTGAACCCTAAGAGATGCTCTAAATGCCTACGTTTTGGGCATAC